TGTTTACAGTTTATAAATATATCATTGATTCATAGATAGAAAGTATCACTTGATTACAAATATTTTTAAAAAGATTTTTTTTTGGAGAGAAATTGTATCAAAAAATGTTCATATTTAAAAAAAATGCACCTGTTAAATTCTGTTCTTTTTGTGAAAACCATCATTGCAGAAATAATATAAATTTATCATTGAAAAACAAGTTGAAGGTGAATGGTCTCTGAAAGGCTGTTATTAAAAGCATGACATGTATAAAGACAAGACCCCTATAGAATACACCATTTGCAATATACTTTCACTTTCAAGTCTTAACAATTTGACAAAATAAACAGGGAAAAACAACTTTCCATAGGCAATCCAAGTCCAACTTGCCCTTCATTGATAAACATATTTTGATTTTGCAATGATGGTTTTCACCAAGAGCAAGTAATTAATTTGGTGTATTTTTTTGAAAATATATGCATTTTTAAAAGAATTTTTCTCAATTAATATTTTTTCTAAGTATTTTTTTATCAAATGATACTTTCTATCTGTTAAGCAATGAAAAATTCATAAACTGTAAAGTTTTAACTTTATACTTCACACAGTTTTGGGGCTATTGTAAAAGTAATTTTTTGAACATGTTTACCTTTGACGAAACCTTAATCAAATCGATGGGGAAGATATACACAATGTACACCAAAAAAAAATCCTTTGACCGTTCCAATGCCAGATGATTTGAATGTTAGAAGTTATTGATCTTAGTGTGGACGGTTGAGAAATGAGATAAAAATACTACTATAATATTCCAGAAAATCTTCGCTGCAGTAAGGCGGTAAAATATCGAACGAAATTTGATAGGAATTACATGCCAGTTCACTCAAAAACTTCGGGAACTAAAGCGATAAAATCAAATTGAAGTCTATGCTTATAAATTAGAAAAATTAAAACAACAAAAGCAAAAAATAAATAAATAAATAAATTAATTAAGAAAATAAAATTAAAATTCTTTTTACTAGATGCGTTGAAATATCAATTTAAGTAAGTAAAACTTGCATTCAGAGACATGAAATATTAAAATACAATGCAGTTAAAGATTTTAATAATTTAAAAGATATCTGGGAAATGTTGTTTATCCTTATTTCATATAAAATTTTGCAGATTCTTTGGTTTAAAGAAATGAACGTTTTTATACTATTGTTTTATTTCATCAATACAAATCATGTCTTAACTCTTAACAAAAATATGCAATGAAACTTTGTTATTGAATTAAAATACAAAGATAGCCGAAATATTGCAAACAAATGCCTGGTTAATCAATGAAACTGGAAACTTTGATTAAGATATTTTTATATGTTCCATTAATAGACTTTCATACAGTGTTCAAATTAAAAACATCATGTCAGTGCTTGTAATATATCATCAGTCATCTTCATGTGGAAAACAGCTTATTTTTTCTCTGAAATAAAGAAAAATTATATTTATACATAGAAATCACACGGATCCATGCAGAAATAGACAAGGTTTCCTCTCAGTTTGTCAATGAATATTGTGACACGATAGCGGTGTTTTTCTTTGAAGTTTACTGTTCTGTATTAGCAATACAGAACGGGACTGTGGTGGGCGGAGCTACTTTCCGTTCTGCTTTAGCCTATACAGTATTGTATTTGCCAACTAATCTGTATCTAAAATACAGCACGGTCTAAAAATAAATCTGATTCAATTTAGCAAAGCTAGCACGTACACATAATAAATACTGATGTTTTCCTCTTATTAATTTTTAAGAAATACCCGGTATTTTCCTGAGAATGTAGAATGTCACAATCACTTTCTAAAAACTTATTCCACACAGAATCTACACGTAATTTCGATCGAAAGTAAAAAAAAATCGCAATAACGCAAAACATCCTCTGTACCTAATTTTGAACAATCCACACGAAACGGAAAATTCGCTATCACGGAAAAAATCCTTCTCGCTGACGACAGCCACACGTCTCTTTCACTTCGTTTTTAATGTCGCAATTCAATTTGAAAATAAAAATCCCTGACATCAAAGAACATCGAAGAATTTTCTGTAAATCCTGTTTTTGTTCATAATCTAGTTAAACCGGGATTTTAAGACCCCTGAAATAGATTATGATAAATCTCCATCTACAATTATAACAATAGATCACAACAATTACGGTTAAATCCTCCAATTCATCCATTAAGACTGACTATCACTCGATTACGTCTACCCCGTTAAATTGTCAAAACAAATCTGACCGAATTTTACGTTTTCCGTGGAAATATATATACTGCGGATGCGTACTCCCCGTCGGGGCCTCATCTACAGAACTCTGGCGGAAGTTTGGATGCTGCAAAGTTATAAAGTAGGCGGAGCTATTTTTGATTGATCGTGTCACAAATCATTTAGAGAACTCGACAGGTTCTGTATCGTAGATACAAATTTGGGGGCGGAGACTCATGCTGTCGCACTCGTCTGCCCCCAAATTTGTATCTACGATACAGAACCTGTCTCGTTCTCTAAGTAATACTTATTTTGTAAATAAATCATTTTAACTTTTGAATCTACAAGGCATTAATCAAGGAACTCTAATAAAGCAATGTTTTATATTGATATCCCCTGCTACTTTTTCTGAAGCTATCGTTGTTATATATGTTAAACAGCATGACTACACGTTTTCTCTTATTCTGAACTTTATCAGCAAAGTTAAGAAAATATAAAACAAAGAGTCAATTTTTCATAAAAATGATATTTATGTTTCTTAATAAGGTTGTGTTGATTCCATGCAAGCTTTTACTTTAAAAATGGATTAAATAATATGTAGATTATATGATTTGCATTGTTTTAAAAATTCAATAATATTTGTGCTTTCTGTTGCCAAACATTATGTTCATTCTTATTTTCATTATTATGTCCATCGTCTATATAAATAAAACTGCGGCAAATTACTGTGACGAAGTGTCTGCTACATGTATTTCATTAAAAGAATGAAGCTTATTTCAACTTTTGTTATACGACATAACATTACTTGGGGCAGTTTACGCTTTATATACCGCGAAGCGGTTTATAAAAAAAGCGTAAACTGCTCCAAGTTATGTATATCGTATAACATAAGTTGAAATAAGCTTTATTCCTTATAATTTAATTTAATGTACAGTGTAGACAATGAGGCAAATTATCCATTTTTTTTCCTTTGGAAAAACGCTTCAAATATAGCATACTTTAAAAATTAACATCAAGCGGAGTAATACGTTTTTGACGTCACTCACTGTGACGTAGACAAGTTATGTTATACAAAATGGATGAAGCCGTCTAACCAATCAAAAGACGTGTTACATCTAAAATTAAATTATTTTCCTCTAAAATTAATTATCTTAATTTAAACTGTGAAGAAAAAATAACTTACCTTTCCCCCATATTTCCAAAAGTTCCTTCTTGTTTATTCTTTTATCAGAATCAATCTTGCACCTAGGACACGGAGGGTCCTCTGTAGAAATTCTCAACAGTTCTTCTTCAGAAATAAACCGCTTTTCATCTTCCTGTGTAATGAAGATTGGTTCACATTGGCATGGAAAGCCTATCTCGTAATCAACATTTCCATGAAATGTTTTTGTCAGATCTGCTATTGTCTCTTCAATCTTTAAACGGATACTCCTTGTTCTTTCTTTACGCAGTGGTAAGTCATTTCCTGTCGGAGTGAGAACCTGGATTTGAATTGATGTTTTGTTGACTGCAATAACAACCGTGTGATACTCAACTTCATGAGTTCCATGAAATATAGCTACATTTTTGTAAAATGATTTGTCTTTAGTATAAAATAATGCAAAGCAAGCAACTACAAGGCGGAAGAAGAAAAAGTGGGGTAAATATGATTTGAAATAAAACGAAAGGATTGGCGATTTGTTTAACGTCGTCCAATGTTCCTTTTTCTCAAAATGCATCTTGTTCATGCTTGGAACATAGTAACATTGACTTCCTTGCGTGTATTTCTGATCCATTTTTGCGAGAATTCCAAGTTTTTCCATAAAGGGTATTAACTTAAACAGGTACTTCTCGTACGATGATCCCTTGCCAATTTTCTCCTCCCATATCTTGCGCATCAGTGATTCCGTTATCATACCGCAATCAAAATATTGATCCCAATCATCATGGGTTGCCGTTTCTGTTGATACATGCTTACGATCTGTTATTATGTATTTAAATGCATCAACAAACCACTGAATGTCCAGGATAACATCCGGTCCTAAATCTCTAAAATACAGAATCATTCCAATTTCGTGATAAAATTTCAGTATATCATCAAATTCGTCTTTCAAAAGATTTTTAGAAAATTTCTGAAGCTCAACTCGAGATGATATTTTCAATTTTTGTTTTTCTCTAATAATTTGCTCGAAGTCAGACCACTGTTTTGGTATTTTCTCGCCCCAGTGCGAAAGGGATTCTGTTGTTTTTGCAATGAAGCGTCTTACTTCTTCAAGGTCTTGAAGCTCTTTTTGTGATCTTTCTTGAGGAGGAAGTTCCATTTCAAAGTGTTTACAAACTATATTTTTAATATTTTCTGGCATTTGTTTACGTAGTTTGACGTAAAAACTTCCATATGCAGATGCATCCTTTTCGTAAGTCTGAAGATATATAAAACATTATTCTAGTATTGAATTATTCATAAACCTTAATCTTAGAAGAGTGTGTTGAGCATTTTGCAGGGTTCCCAAAACTGAATCATGCAGTCGATTTGATATTTCTGGATCAATACAAACCTAGGTGCGCCATACATCTCGTAATCAGAGATATGGATTGATGAGCATTTTAAATTACAACTAATATAAGTATGGATAAAAATATATTGAAATTCAGTCTCCATCTGTTTTACTCTAAATTAAATTTATATATAGTTACTTTTAAACAGAATACATTAATACCTCTGATTTTTTGTATGAATCTTTATGTGTTATTATCACGATGATAGGCGCTAAAAGTTTCTTGCGTTCACTGCTTTCTGTGTTGTAAGATTTTGTTTTATTACGTTGGCCATCTTCCTGGCCATATGTTCTAATAGTCTGCAGCCAGAATGTGAAATAATCTAAAT